ATAGGGCATCATCTGTGCAGGGGCACAGGTTTATGGTGTATGGACAGAACCCTGCATGTGACAAGAGACCTGGGCTCCTATTTCAGTTCAGACACTGTAAAAGTAACTGTACAGTAACTAGGGTATTTTAGACCTTGGTGCCCTTATGCATATTTTTATTCCAACAGAGAAAAATGACCTGTTGTTTATTTCCCTTTTCTGAAGGCACAATGGCATGTATTTCCTCATTTATTAACTACAAGTGGTGGACTGTCTGCTTATCCTGTGCTAGGCAACCAAGAGTTAAGAGCTTAACCACCCAGGAGAGAACTTCATAGTGATTGGCTTGGGGAGGGTGTAGAAAGCAGTGGGAAGCTGAGAACTCCTTCCCAGACTGGGAAGGATACAAGGAAGTGTCACTCTAAATAGAATCCACTGAAGAGCTAAGCCAGGTGAGACCTGAATGGAAGAGGTAGGCACAGCCACACAAAGGGAGCGACTGACCTAGACCACTGGGAACACCAGAAGAAATCTAGAACTTTTTAGGATGCCTCTTGAAGTTCAGACATGCTTGGTTGGGGGGGGGCGGGGCAGGAGCCTCACAGAACGTCTTAAAGAGGGTGTATGATGAGACCAAATTGTGATTTTTGTTTTTTGTTTTTTTTTTAAGTTCTGGCTTCAGGGTGGCCGTCAGGAGGACCCCAGGAGGCCTCCCCATCATTGGTGGTCAGATCAGAGTGCATGCTGAGATTGAATCAGTAAGGTCCAAGGGAAAGCGGGGCGAGATGACAACCTCAGGCTTAGGCAGCCGAGTTAAAGGGGCATTGTCTTAGTTTGTTTCTCCATTGCTGTGACAAAACACTCTGACCATTACCAACTTGGAGAAGAAAAGGTTTATTTGTCTTACATCTCCCAGGTCGCAGTTCATCAGGGAGCCCAAGGTAGGAACTCAGGTCAGGAACCTGGAGGCAGGAGCTGGAGCACAGGCCATGGAGGATCACTGCTTACTGGTTTGCTCCCTGGCCCCTGCTCAGCCTGCCTTCTTATGCAACACAGGCCCACCTGCCCAGAGGTGGTACCACTCGCAGTGGGTTGGGACCTCCCACATCACTCATCAAGAAGATGCCCCTCAGACATGGCCACAGGCCAGTCGAATAGAGGCAATTCCCTGATTGAGGCTCCCTCAACCCAGGTGTGTCAAGTTGACACTAAAGCTATCCAGCACAGGCGTCTTTACTGAAGTCTGGAACGAAAGCAGGCAGTATATTTACTTTGAATCATGTTGAGCATGGTATTACAATGCCATATTTCCAAATAGAACTTTCTAGGAGGCAAACACTGATTTGAAGTTCTTACAGACTTTCCTTGGATAGGCACCTCACCTCTTAGCCTGCTCCCTCACAGACTTTTCAGATGTGTACTGTTCTCTACAAGTCATCCAAAGGTTCAGGAGAAAGGATAAAGGGTTTTAGGGGTTCTGTACAGTGGGGGGTTCTGATTAGTCCTAGACAAAAAGGCTGGGCCTCTCTTGCCTTTTCCCTGAGCCTCGCACACTCTGTGTAGTCAGAGCCCCTTTTGTCCAGGCTATAACTTCTCCTTAGAACTGTATTTTATCCCTTTCCCCCCAACCCCTGAGTTCCTGTCTTTCTCTTATCCCTCCTGTTAGCTTGAGCAGGGTGTGCATGGCAGGGACGATACAGCCCTTAAAACCAGGGTACGCTACTTGGATTCTTCTTGCTCCTTTTGAGCGTTAGTCCTGAGCAAGGTGTAGGCCATGGAAAACCTCCTTCTGGAGCTTTGTCTTTTTCCCAAGACCATACTAACAAGTAAAGAGAAAACTGCCCCCGGGGGGGGTGAGGAGCAGGGTAGGAGAGTTTTTCAGCCTGCTGCTGTCTGCTGTAAGAATGCTTCTAGGTATGGGTTTGGCTCTGGTGGTAATTTTGGATATTCACAAAGGAAGAGGGGAGAGAGCCATGCATAGACACGCCAAGAGGTTCATTGAGTGTGACTTCACTGGAGTCTTCAATCCTCTGCTGCTGGCCAGCTCAGCACCTGTGCATTTAGGGGTTATCAAGCACAGTTCTGCTGGGCTACATCTGCAAATGTTTGTGGATAAGTCGTCCCTGAGAATCAGTGTAGCTGTCATGGAAAGTCATACTCAGCATGAAAATGTAGGCTCTGAAAGTCATGAATTCCATCAGTTGGATCAAGAATGAAGTCGGATCTCCCCCCACCACCCATTTTGTGTGCTTTGTGTTGTGGGATACAAAACTGCCCCTCCCGCCATGGAATGTTATGCTGACACCCAAGATAGTCACAACCTCTCATGATTGAATATCCCACTATCTTCTGGTTGCACCAAAAAATAAACAACTAATGAGTTATTTTTACCTCTTAAAAAATAATTTAACGTGGGGTGTAGTGGTGTGTAACTTTACTCTCTGCACTTGGGAGGCAGATCTCTGTGAGTCTGAGTCCAGCCAGGGCTACCTAGTGAGTCCCAGCCCTACCCCAAAGATAATTTACACTTAAAACTTTACTCTCCCTTTAAAGTGGAGAGTTCCTAAAAAACTGACATTTACAAAATAGCTGATAAAAATATTCCTCTTTATTATAGAAGAAGGATCCAGGGAACACTAAGGGGCATGGTGCATGGTTAGTCAGACCCAGCTCCTTCCTCTTCTACTTCATCAGAGGCTAGACTCTCCAGGCTTATAGTCTGTCCCCTGTCTGAAGCTAGATCTCGAATTTCTGGCTTAGCCACAGCAGCCGCCTCCCCTCTGCTTCCCTCTTCCCTCTTGTTCGTACTTGTGTCTGAGGATGCTCTCTTTCCCCCCGCTGTCTTTTGGCTTCATTTCCACTGTGTCTGGAGTCTGGAGCAGAATCCGCCTGTAGCCTCCCTGATCTGCTCTTGGGCATTGTGGCAGCGGTCGAGGCGGGGGCGGGGGGTGTTGCTTAAAGAGCTGTGTAGCCTGGGTAAGCCCTATGTTGCCTGGGTGCTACCACTCGAACTCCATTATTCATCTCTTTATGGACTAAATACATTAAAGGGACATTCTGATTTCATTTTTCAGGCTTTTTGAGGGAACAGTGAGCCACCCACCCCACCCCCGTTAGTCACCTCCCCTTAGAGACAGCCGGGACCAGAGACTAGTTGCAGTCAAGCAGGCCCCTCTGCCATCTCTGCCAACGGGTATCAGTTGAGCTGCCAATTCTAAGGTCTTCCGCTGTCACAGTGGACCAGATAAGCACAAGCTAGAGATTTGAGTGCTAGGGCCTGAGACTTTCTTGACTTTTGTAAGACTCAGAATGTCTTAAAATAGGCTAGTAGCTAAAATAACAATAATAACAACAATAATAGTTTGCCATTGCTGAGAGTGGTTGTTTGTTTAAAATCCAAGGCCCTGGTCCTGGCAGCAGTTAGTTTCCACTAGCTGGCTCCCACAAGAACAGCTCTAATGGAAAGCATATGGTCCCTTCATGACAAGAATCGCAGGGGTCTATAGGGTGTTCTCAGCCCCTCTGAGGACTTTCCTGAGCCTGGGGCTACAGAAACCTACACATCCCAGGACTTGAAGATGATGCATGAACATGATCATTTTAAAGAAACTTGTGGTACTTTTGTTTCCTTGGCTAAATAGTATCAATCTGTTCCTCAGGTCTCTGGAGCCTTCTTCATTGTCTGTTCCCATCACCAGAGCTTAAAGTGCCCTACTGCAAAGAATGGCGTGAAGGCCAGCCAGGATATAGCAAAGCTGGGTGTTAAGATCCCACGTGCCTGAAGCTGCCCCAGAATTAGGGAGTCCATCACCCCCAAAGAAGCCATGCAGAGCCTCGCATCCCCATGCCCACCTGGTGCTCACTCACGCACAGGCCCTGCTTCCTGGTTGCTCCGTGGAATACCCACAGCGCACACCCACAGCTTGCTGTGCTCAGTGCCCTTCCCTTACTAAAAGCCCTGCCTAGAACCAGCATTTCTGAGTCTGGGTCTGGGAAGGATGAGGGACACAAGTTGCTTGGAAGTAGGAAGGAGAGAAGTGACTCTTGAGCCCCTGCAAAGTCCTGAATGGCAGTTCTTAATGGCTTTATCCAGCTACCCTTTCCTGCCTCCCTTGCTCTCCTGGGACGCATCCTCATTTACTTGATTTCAGGTGTTGACAGGTGAGAAAAGCACGTATCAAGATGGCTTCACAGAGTTCAGACTCATAACTGTTGAGTGGTGGTATTTCTGCTTGTGCTGAGCTCACTAGTGTACTTGCCTCTACTTTTAATGGTTTGCTTCCTAATACACTGAACAGCCTGGCAATTGACCTTCCATCTGGCAGCTGCAGGTTGACCTGAGCTACATAAGGAACTTGTAGACTGGGGAGTCAGAATAAACCGCATCTGTAAATGTTCCTCTGGCATCTTTTGGGAGCCTGACTTTAAGTATGATGTTTGAGATACCTCTATTCTCTGAATTTGTGATGTCCTTGATGTCTTCTGTACATCGAGGTATTTGATCCTGTGCTTCAGAGGACAGAATAGAAAGTGCTTTATCGTGATTTATTTGTTGATAGCAATACTGATAAACGGAGAAGTCTTGGAGTTCTGGTCTGTTGGAGTCCTGCCAGCAACCCACTGTGCTAACAAAGGCTGTGCAGAGGGTCCTTGTGGAATGTCTCCTGCTAGCTTTTTCTCTCCATTCCATCCCTCAGCAGACCACACTCTGTTTCAGCGGGAAATTCCCACTGTTCTTGGGTCCCCAGCTACAGTTGGAGAGACATCACAGTGTTCAGGGCGGAGTCCAGGCCTGTGACCTCAGCTGGCTCAGCAGGCAGCAGATGAGTGTTGCCTTGTTTGTTCTGGACTTACCCGTTCCTTTGCTTAGAGTTTGGGGGAGCAAAGCCAACAGGTTGTTGAAGGAATGAGAGTAATTTGACCTCTGACGTTGGTCTGGGCTTGGGGTTACTGGGTGTTTGTTTTCCATGTGAAAGCAGCTGTTTGGTAACCACTAACTCTTCCTTATTCTTTTCTTGCAGATGAGCTCACAGTGCCTGCACTTTACCCCAGTAGCCCTGAAGTGTGGGCCCCGTACCCTCTGTACCCAGCGGAGTTAGCGCCTGCTCTTCCTCCTCCTGCTTTCACCTATCCCGCTTCACTGCATGCCCAGGTAATTTCTACCCATCGGCCACAACTTCACTTACTCCACCACCAGTCCTTTCAAACCTGGTCCCCCAGAGCACACCATACGACTAACAACTATCCAGCTAACAGATCCACCTTCAAGACATGAATGATCCCTCTACGTCAAGCTGACACCCCTCCGGGACTTACGAGGACCGTCTGACAGCAATGATCCTACCCACTGCCTGATGTTTGCCCCAAAGGACACCTCTCTCTTCCTTAATGATTTCACCCTCATCTCACATGTGAGGACTGGGGCAGGCTTCCCTCCCCAGCTCCCAGCTAGCAAAAGGAGATCACGGGAGCATAGATATGTGTATGCCTGGTATGGAATGGATGTGCGCACTCTAGGCACAAGTCAGTGTGTGTGTGTGTGTGTATGTGTGTGTGTGTGTGTGTGTGTAACTAAGACTTCTGCCCTTTGGTCCACAAGGAGATTAGGTACCGAAGGGGAAGGTTCTGGGAGGAAACCTGTGCTTTTTTATATATGTTACAGGAAAGACAAGGTTGCTTAGTCCCATGTTTAGGAAAGGTGCAATCTACTGTCTAGGATGTAATTACAGGTCAAGAGTAGAAATCTGTGCGCCATAGTTTTCTTGCTTAGTTAAGAATAGCCTGGGTTTTATAAACACACTTCTTGCTTCTCTCCAAAGATGACCGTCTACATACTAACGCTTCCTCTCCCATGGGAAGCGATGGTTCCCTGAGCTTTGCTTAGCATGAGGAGAGGAGACCCACTCTTAAAACTAGCCACTCATTGATTGCCTCTAGAAAGTGCTGATCACTAGCAAATAAATAGGTAGAATATAGATTCTATTTGCATGTATCACTCAGCCTGGCCTTTTAAAAAGTTCCAAGCTATGGGCTGGCGAGATGGCTCAGTGGGCAAAGGCATTTGTTGCCAAGCCTGGTGACCTGAGTTCAATTCCCCCAGATCCACATGGTGGAGCAAACTGACTCCTGCAAGTTGTCCTGTGACCTGCACACAATCAAGCAAACAGTGTTTTTTATGGTCAGGTGGTGTGTGTGTGTTGCCTGCTGTTAGTTTCCAAGGCTGGATGAAACACTTTTGTGTCATACAGAACAATGCTGAGCAGCAGGCAGCCCTGGTGAGGGTTCCCAGCCTCAGGTCAGGAGTGCTGTGGGCTGCACGGCCTTCCACTCTTTGCATCTGAGATACCAGTGCTTCCTGCCTGCATTAGCAACTGGCTTCCTGGGCTGCTCTCCCAGGGCATCGCTCCAGGCAGCTGCTGAGGGAAGTGTCTGGGCCCCAGGATCAAGGCACTGGGGAGGAAAGGGGAAAGCGGTGTGAGTCGTGAAGTTTGGGACAGAAATGGTAGACGATAGTAGTGAGGGGACTTGGCACAGAAAACAAATTAAAGTCAAGGGCAAGACGTGCCTTTTGCTCGTCTACCCACTGTTCATTGTCTGCATCAGTGCTCAGTGACCCCATGACTGGCAGGTAGCAGGCAGGAGAGTGGGTAAGCTGTAAACCTGTGGCTATATTTTGCTGAGTCATGAGTATGCTTGTGTCATCGGTAACTTTGTAGACAACACAGAGCAGCTAAAAGAGCCTTTTGTTCACCCCACGCCTTACCTATAGGTAGTACACCTCCTCTTGCCTTATGGCTCAGGAACAGATCAACTGGCAGTTGAGGTCCTTAGTAGTAAATACCATGAAACTGTGCACAGTTACAGTCTTCTGACAAGTCTGCCTTCCACCACTGCCCTGGACAATCAAGAATTGACAATGTCCAGGAAGGACTGGGGATGCTGCCTGTGGGCCATGACATGGCAGATGAAATCAGGGGTGATTCTGGGGAAATGAAGGGTAAAGGACCTAACAAGGATCTCCTAAGAGATTAGAAAGCCTACACCATTGTAAGGAAGGATGGAGAGACAGTGCAAGATTAGATGACCTCAGCCGTGTGCCTTGCTGGCATGCATCACCCATGTGGCCCCCTTCTCGTGACACTTCCCCAGCCTGGAATCCACTTGACTTAGCCAGCGGCCCCAGATTTGGTGGAACTCTCATCTGATGTTGGTGAGATCCTTGTGTTGGATCTCACTTCTTGTTTGGAGTCATTCCCAGAACAGCCTTGGACTCTGCATCCCAAAGATGCATAAGTAAGTATACCTATTAAATTAATTTGCCCACGTTGGTACTCTACCAGAGTGAACTGGTAGAGGCTTTGTAGATCAGCTGGTCTGGCCCATGGTGCAGATGAGAAAGCAGGTCTGAGAAGATGGAGAGTTGCCCAAAATCATGGTGGCTCTGTCTATCATGACTTAAGTGCAGGTCGATCACCTGCGCAGGCTTGTCTCTAGACACTCCAAGGAGCTGGCTCACCAAAGACTTACTCATAATGGAATTTTGGAGAGGCCTCACTCCAGTGACTCCCTGGAACTCTCTCCTCTAAGTAGATGGGAAATCTGTAAGAGACTTGGAGGTGAAGACAGGGCTTCAGAGAACCCTACTAACTAGAGGGAGAGTAGAGTGGGGTGTTCCCGTAGCAGAGGATTCAGGCTTTGTTTTGGAAGTTTCATGATGTTTTGGAGAGTCTTCTAAATAATTTTGCTTTTCTTAGCAATGCTGTGCTCTGTTTTGAGACATGGATTTTTTTTTTTTTTTTAGGGTTACTGGAGGGAGAGCGGAGTGGGGTGTTCCCCTAGCAGAAGATTCAGGCTTTGTTTTGGAAGTTTCATGATGTTTTGGAGAGTCTTCTAAATAATTTTGCTTTTCTTAGCAATGCTGTGCTCTGTTTTGAGACATGGATTTTTTTTTTTCTTCTAGTGTTTCTCTCCTGAAGCAAAGCCCAACACACCTGTCTTTTGTCCACTTCTCCAGCAAATTAGATTTGTCTCTGGGAATGTGTTTGTCACATATCAACCTACTGCAGACCAGCAGAGGGAGCTCCCATGTTGAATTTGTTCATTAGCCATTCCCCCCTTTTGCAAAAATTATTTCTTGATGATATTTGAGAGATTTCAATAAAAATTTTAATCAGAGCAAAAATGATCTCAAATAGACTGCGGCGTGTTTGTTTTCACGGTGCTACAATTTTGGAGCAAAGGCACTTCTCCCTGGCAGAGGTGTCGGGAGACCTGGGCCTATAGCCCCACTGAGTTGTGTGTTCCACTGGCGACAACTTAGAGCACCTGGAAGACTGGGCCCAGAGCCTCGGCCCCATCGATGCTGCTCCCGTCTGAGCTCCCCAGCCACCCTAAGCTTCATGCTGGAAGATCCTCCAGCCAGCGGGTCATCGGCTACCAGGAGCGCTTGCATCAGCATCAACAGAGCTGACACATCTAGCTAGTGGAAGTCCATTTGCAAGAAGTGAATACGTACTCCCAGTGCGCTTGCTGTGGTCCCAAGGAAGGAGGACCCAGGAAATAGGACTTGGCATTAAAAATGAGTTGGATCATATTTCTAGTGCAATTTCAGCCCTTCAGCTTTTTCAGCTTTAGTTTAAAGGTACTTAATCGCCATCAAATCCTACAGTTTTTTATCTACCATTGATGTACACCTGTGATCCTAGCACTTGGGAGGCAGAGACAGAGGCAGGAAGGTCCAGAGTTCCAAGCTTGCCTAAGCTAGATGTAGAACAGCACACTGTACTGTCTTTATACTTTTAATGATGAAGAGTGGCCCTGTGCAGCCAACATCTGATTCCTGACATTAATTTTCATTGGTGGTGGTGGTCTTTTTTTGAGACAGGGTCTCCCTGTAGCCCCAGCTGTCCTAGAACTCACTATGTAGACCAGGCTGGCCTTGAACTCACAGAGATCGGCCTGCCTCTGCCTCCCAAGTGCTGGGATTAAAGGCGTGTGCCACCACACCTGGCAACATTAATATTTTTAAGTGATTATCTGGTTTACTTTCAAGGATATTCATACTTGAAATTTGCTAAATATGTTGTGTAAGTCACTGGGTAAGGAGAGGTATGTTTCACCTACCACTTTCTGGAAGCTTATACTCTGAACACAATATGCCGACCTTCCTGTCACCCCCTGTTTACACATCTCTGCCTTTTGAGTCCAGGTTAATCTTGTTGCTGCTGGGGCAGAAAGTAGGTGATGTCCTCACTGCATAGTGGAAATCAAACTCCTCCCCCTCCTCTAGAGGCAGGCCCAGTGCTGGGCCCGAAGCCAGCCTGGTTGAAGAAAGGTCCTGATTGCTGCTGCCTCAGGGGACTCATTTACCCTGGGCACCACAGTCCTTTCAAAAGTCACTGGCTGCTGTCCAGTTTGTGCAGGGAACCCTCACCTGTGTAACAGAAACAGAAGCGTCCTAAATTGTAACACAGACTTCTTATGGGCGTGCCCCTTGAGATAGCCCTTGTGACACAATGGAAAATTTTTAAAGGTTAAACCCCAAATAAATTCAGAACTTGTCCATGGGAAAAGAGCCACAGGCAAACATGACAGAAAGATCACAAAAGGACAGACAGATCCAGAACCAGTATGGGTTGTCTGCACTGCGGGACTGTATCCATTGCCAGGGTGCCTGAGCGTTTATTTACTCAGCAGGGTGCAATTTATTTTTCATTTTTTCCATCTATCTGTGTGTGTGTGTATGTGTGTGTGTGTGTCTGTCTGTCTGTCTGTATACATGCACACATGCATGCAGGTACCTATAGAGGCCAGAAGAGGGGATCAGTTCCCCTGGAGCTGGAG